CGGGACCTAAGGGAAGAATTAATATGGGATTTAATGATGATGATGATAAACAAATGGCAAAAGAAGAAGCTCAAATTTAATTTAAAAGTACCCCAATTTCAGTTTAGCTCAAAGTTCAAATAGCAGTAAAAGATACAATAATATAGAATTCAAAAAAAACAGTACTGGAGGTTCATAAACAACAGATACTGCACATTAAAAAGCCAGTTTTGACAGCTTGCCCTTTTTACAATCATATATGAACTTTTAGTGGGACATAAGCAAAATGGCAACTGCAAATTACCCTACATTTCTATGTTAAGACACTTTACTGTTCTATAATGAATAAAACACATGCCTACCAGAATAAAAGTTTTATAACACCTCACATATTCATATTTAGCCATAGTAAGTTGAAGATATGTGTATTCATCCCAGTAACGGCAAAGCATGATATCTATGTCCACCTTTGAAGCTCATGGACCAAGCTGAGCATCAGAGTAATTATTTTAATATATTTAGAAACTTCCAATGTAACTTGTCTTTGCAGGTCTGCAATCATACATTTCTGATGTGATGCAGGATTAGCATTTATTCTTGTAGTTTGTCAGTCTCATAACATATCAAGAGGAAACAGTTTAAGAAACACTTACTACGTTACAACATGGTAACAATTTATAATAAATGCTGTAGATTTAAACACTACAACATATACGAAAAAATGAAAAGTGACATGAAATACTGATCTTCATGTAAATAGTGTCGATAGTCAGCAATATGCACATTATTAAAGTCCTTCAAACAAAGAGAACAACTGCTAAGAAACAAAATGTTAAGCAGTACTGCATACTCACCAATAGATGAGGAATTTGAGAAATCACTAACCAAATTGTTCTGCATGAAGACTCATATTCATTCAGTAGCCTTCCAAGAAGATGCAACCAGTAAAGAAGAATGTGGCAGAATTCCTGCCTGGGCTGACCAGCACATAAACTTGACTTATTCTTTGGTTGGTTGATTTACTATTGCTCACAAATATGCATACACAGGCACTAGTTTCCTGGTGAATGACGATTGCTTCCCCATTAGCCAGCCAAATGTATAAAAACAACAAGTAGATGGTTTGAAGTGATATAGACCACAGGATGACATGGGAATGAAGTCAGAGCAGTAAAAATCAAAGGAATGTTTCAACTCGTGATTAACCCCGAAGAGAATGTCCATAACCTTAGAGTAGATCCAAATCACCTTGCTCTTTCTTTCAAAAGCTTCGTGGTGTCTTGCCTTGATGACTTCATTATACATCCTTAATCTTCTTCTGCGTAACTTGTATAGTGGGGCGGAGATAAAACAGCAAACTGCCAACTTCAAATCAGTTTGTCTCTAACACTACACTTGTAAGAAACAAGATTCCATAAGCATGTAGATTTAAATGGAACTGAACTCCTTTTGCAACATATTTCCAACACACAATGCTGTTTTTATCAAATAAGCCGTTATAAATTCTTTTATGGCACACAGAAAACATAACATATGAATAATAAATTTGTACTACAGAATATAATATTCAGCATTAAATGAGTATGTTTAAAATTGTACTGTAGAGACATGATATTCATCATCTTGTAACACTGCTGTAATACTTCAGGAGTTGATGTGGATACTTGAACCATCAATCTTCTCTTCCAAACGTGATAAAATTATAAACATCTTCAAAACACAACTGTAAAGCAGTATTCACATTACATCCGTTTCTGTCCTCTACTTACAATGTTCATCAACACGAGATGTGCCATGACACAGATGAGAAATCAAAGCTGATCTCTCTATACTACAAGCGAGTATAGAATGAATTGCACAGAGTGCTATCTTGATCAAACGCAAAAAAATTCTCTACATCCATCTCAGAATGTGCATAAAAATGTAGGGTTTTGATGCTGAAGCCAGATCAACATATTGCCTACAATAGAAAGATGATGGAATCTTGTCTTGACTGACAGCCATGTTTCTCCGACATAGCTCGGAATTCCCATTACGCCGGCACCAAGATCCAAGAATCAAAAACCCACTCCAATGGAAAGATGACTGCTTCATTCATTATGTCTTCAATGACAGTTCTATACATAAAAATGTCTTCTTTCTTCATGTTAAACTTCCAATCTTCTCCAAACACCCAGTCTTCCTCATAAAATGAAGATCATACTGTATAACAAACTGGTGTTATCAGAAGTTTCCTGGACTTTCAGACTTAGGATGAATAATGTCCCCAATAGCATAGAGCAATTTTTAGCTGCAACAACTTTTGAATATTATTTACAATTGTTTCTTCCTTCATAGGTGTCTTCTGACACAATATCTTGAGGAACAGTGATCAACAACATACACTGAATTAAACAACAAATGTTTTACAACTATAATATTTCTGTAATTTTTAGTAATATATCATATATTTTCAACTTGGAGACGGTCACAGCAGTCTTCAAAACTATATACAGCTGAGCAATTATGAATTGTTTCAGGTGTGTTATATGTTGAAAAGTATCTTCTCTCAAGAATTCTTCTATTCATATCCGTACTCTTCATGTTTCTGTTCTTTCACATCGAATATGTGTCACAGGGACATGGCAATACTCTATTTACTAAATATCACTCAAATTTAATTGCCAATATAATTAAGGGCAAGGAAATTTGGCACCAGCAGCTTTGATACTATGTAATATGTATACTATTCATAATTAAAAACTGCTTTCCCTTCTTCTCTTTCTATCCCAAAACCAGAATTGCCGATCCTTCAAGAAATGAAGCCGAGTACATTCGTATGGAAAAATGGTCCTTTATACCCATTAAGAACATTCACTGGGCAATAAAATTCAAAACTATTTTTGGAAAATAACCTAAAAATGTTCTGTAAGATGGCATTGTTGAAAATGAGATCTTCTCCTGGAACCCAAAGTCTAAACAATAATGAACACAACCTTTCATTCCAATATTTATAACCTTCTACATCTTCCACCCCACTAGCCACTGGGAAAAATGACAGAGTGGATAGATTCCCAAGAAGAAACAATACACATGTGACCAGACACCAGGCAGGCCAAACTAGTTGGCAGCAATGGGCACGTGAGCTGCGTTCTGGCTTGCACATGGACAGATGCACACACAGTTGGTTGGTTGGTGTGGGAGACGGAATGGGTTCCATGTAGCCGTTCAGCGAAGCAGGGACCTTGTATCTCACGTCTGTAACCCAGAAAACCTTCCAGCCTGCCTGCAAGCTGCAAGCTGTCTCCCCCTGCCAGCGATGCTAGGAGACTTGGATACTAACCTTCGTGGACGAACCGCCTTCCAGCTTTCTGCGTTTCACATCTGTAACAATGCAACCAAGTTTGCATTTACAGAAGTACTAGAAATACACTTAGTTTCTTACAGCTTGTTATGTTATAGGTGGACAATAAGTGCTGAATATCTTACAATAAAACCAGCATGCTCCTCCAGTTCCATGGAGAGCAGAAAATGACAAACATAACCACTCCAGTGTCGGCTGAAGACCTAAGTATACAATATTAAACCATACAAAATGCAGATGAGTTCATGGCAGTGAAAGCATGGAGGTTTGAAAGCTTCATGTAATAAAATAGGTGGTGTTATGTGAAACTAGATGATGATGATATGGAGAACTGGGATATCTGAACAAAAGGTACAGGCAGACAGTCAATTTCAATTGTTGTTTTAATTATAAAACTCTTGTGATGATAGAATGTCAAGCTGAATTCTTTTCCCTAAAATGGAAATCTCAAATATCACAGGAGTTCCAGTATATCATGACACTTTTGGAAGGAGTACAAGAGAATAAAAATCAATGGGAACTGAACATGAACTACACATACCTCTGTCGACCTCGGGCGGCTCTTGGCTGCGCCTGTGGCCCGAACCCGAACTGCTATTGGAGAGGCTGCTAAGGTCTCTGTCCCGGTCATCATGTGTTGGTTCACGTGGGTAGTAGTGGCTACTACGCTCAATACCCCCACTACTGCTACCACCATAGTACCTCTCACCACTTCCACCGCCACCAAAACGCTGCTGCAACACCTGTTCTTCCTTCAGGCTTGGGTTTGGCATCTCCAGGTAACGGTCATCCTGCAATGTAACCATGCTTGAAACAACTGACTCAAATAAAAACTATTTGTGTGTTAATCTTTTAGTAAAAGTATTCTTACTCGGTAAGCCCTTTCTTCTCTTTGTAATGCCCTCTCCTCTCTTTGGGCAGCTTTATCCTCTTTTTTCTCTTTGGAGCGTTTCTCCCGTTCTCCTTCCTCCCTCCTTTCTTCCTTCTTTGACAACTTTTCTTTCAGCTCATAATCTTTCTCTTTGTTCTTTTCTTTTTCAGATTTCTCTTTAATTGATCTGAAATGAATATCAAATATTAATGTTTGTCATGATGACACTTGTATTCAAAGAAATTGCTTACTTTGAGCTCACAACAGACATATGGCTGGCAAACAACACTACTAACACAACATTAGAAGCCACTATCAATACAGGCAACAGGCAAAAAGCACTGGAGCAACACTATTACAAATTTTTACACTGCTCATTCTGATATCAAACCCATGGTATGTATCACATAACTAATGTTTATCTCTGTCAAAACATTTTTAAACTGACTGTAAAATGAATAACATTCTTCTTTTCCTATGGATCAGATATAAGATGACATCTTTTCCGACGAGATTTCACCAATACCTGTTTTATATTCCTAACACATGGCAAAACTTGTTACATTGTCGTAACCATAACTGATGAATCTGACAGAAGAAAACAGTTAGATGTTCAAATAGGATTCTTGGGGGGGGGGGGCAAAAA